ATCGGGCACTAGTACAATGTTGACAACCGCATCTAAAAAGACCAAAATTCTATCCCTGGTAAATTTCAGTTTCCTGCATCTATAAGAAAGAAGAATATCCCGTGTAGATATTTCGATGTCTTAATATTAAGGTTAAAGAACAAAATGACCCTGGACACAAATATTTTACTTGTTCAGCTATTTTATACCATGATATACGGATTATTTTGACCATTTCATAAGGTTATTGTACAATTCAATTTGCCCAAATGCTAGTCCTTTTTTTTTTTTTTTTTTTTTTCCCTATACTAGTGCAAATGTTTTTTTCCCACTAATCTACTCGTAGTGGTTTGCTGCATGCTCCATTGTTTCACCTCAAAAATATGTCGAGCATTGAGTGGAACCAATTCGTTTCATCTAATACTAGAGTCACGACTCAGCAATATATACCTTTGATGTTTATGGTAATGCCATGTATAACTGTAATTTCATACAATTTTTGATTCTATATATGCAGGCGGATATTGGTCTTGCGATGGGAATACAAGGAACTGAAGTTGCTAAAGAAAGCTCAGACATAATTATTTTAGATGACAATTTTTCTTCTGTAGTAAAGGTTAGTGTTAAGGGATTTATTTCATTTTCTAGGCAAAATTTCATTGGCTTCTTTAAGAGTTAGAATAGGTCTCTCTTTTTACTAATTTTACGGGAACATAAATTTACTAAACAAGAAACACTGTCTAGGGGCTTTTTGCACATATTGATAAACACTTGTATAATAATTCAGCTCTTGTTGCCAAGCTATATATGTGATTTCTTCTTTAGTTTGAAGCAGTTCCATTTACTTCGCATAGGTTGTCCGCTGGGGGCGTTCTGTATATGCAAATATTCAGAAATTTATCCAGTTTCAGCTCACTGTTAATGTTGCAGCTCTAGTAATAAATGTAGTTGCAGCAGTTTCTTCTGGCGATGTTCCTTTAAATACCGTGCAGGTATCTTTTTACTATCCTTAATAATATTGTTTGCAGTTTTTAAAAATCATAATCAGGTGAAAATATACATAAAATTCCAAAAGACAAGTCTGGCACTATTTATCAAAAAAAAGTTTTGGCACTGAAATGCTTGTAATGGAATGGTGATTTGTAAATAGATTCACGAGTTTTAGATTTCTAGAATGCACAATCAAAGATGGCACTTTTCCTAATATATTTAAGGTGTATTTATGTTGGGATTTTAGAGTTGGAATGTTGATGCTTTTCTCCACTGACTTTCCTTATGGTACAGCTTCTTTGGGTTAATCTCATCATGGATACTCTGGGAGCTCTGGCATTGGCTACCGAACCACCAACTGACCATCTTATGCATAGACCTCCAGTTGGTCGAAGGTTAGAACTCCTCACATTCTCTTTTGATGTTGTCATAGTATGAGATGCATCATACGACTAATACACGCATCCAAAGTTTTCATAACGTGATCACCTGGGAGTTGTCAACTAGAAGTCTACATATAAAATGTTGTTGCATTTGAAATGACCAAAAGGCCAGTAACTTCAAAGAAAAGAAAGAAAAGGTACGTCTGTAAGGGGGGGAGGGGGGGGGGAACAAAGTGAATGCAAACTTACTTTTCGTCTAAGTTAATATGTACAAAAACCCTGACAAGCACGATCTATGCTCTCCTTTACGAGTTCCATCAATAACTGAAGCAAAACAAACTCATTTATGATACATAATTTTTGTCCCATCCATTTTGTTATAATAAGTTACTACTTGCTAAAGGCTAAGCAACATATTTTAAAGCTAAATTTACATTTCAAACTTCCAAGTTCGAAGTGATCTGCACGACCTTAATCCAAATGGCCTTCCAACTCACATGTATATATTCGATTGTCTAAGTGTTGACCATAAGGTATGCTTATAGTTGGGAATCATAGGTTTTATTTCACGTGTGTAATGTTCAACACTTCAATCAATTTTAAGGCTTTTTCATTGGTATATGCATTCAATTTTAAGGCATTTGTTAGTTTTTTGTACCATTTGAAATGAGAACTATATTTACTTTTTTGTGATGTTTTGACGATATTGACTACTCCAGCTTCAAATACAAACCTTGATTTTTTTAATCAAATAGAAGCATTCTACTCATAACTCTCTGTCCTGCTAACTATATTTTCAGTTTCAAAATATGTTAGTCTATAAAACTGGAGTGTTAGTCTATTAAACTGGAGTATGCTCTTTCAAATGGGAATTGCCATAAAGAACTGCACCCTAAGTAAAATTTCTTCCCATGTTAAAAGCTTATGTAAGAATGCATGACCCTTTTTCATTTAATTGTTTTCAAATGCTTCAGGGAGCCTCTTGTAACAAATATCATGTGGAGGAACTTGATTATACAGGTCTGTTAGGTTATTATTTGTTGAAATTTTGGCTGTTGATTTTCGTACTCACAAGGAATTTGGTTAATATTACTATGATATCTTCTATGCCGCAGGCAATATATCAAGTTACAGTCCTCCTTATCTTTAACTTCTGTGGTAAGACCGTTCTCAACTTAAAGAATGAGCCGTCGGAGCATGCTAACATGGTGAAGAATACCGTTATATTTAACGGATTTGTTCTATGTCAAGTAAGTACATTCTAATTGCAAATGAAAAGAATAAAGGGTGATAGAGCATGTCTGACTAAGCTTAGAAAAAGTAAATCTACTTTTAAGTAATTTTTTTTATCTTCAATCACTTCTAGATCACTGATTTTTTTCTTAATTTAAGTGAAAAACATTACTTTCTTCTGTAAAGTAAGCCTTATCTCACAGTTGAAATAAGTAACTTATTTCCAATTTTGACCTATAAAAAACTATTTATTTTCAACTAGTTTATTTACTAGTAAACTTTTAAGCTTAGTGAAACATGATATGTTGTATTATATTTACGAGAGGAACATGAAAATAGCACCCCAAAATTCCATGGGACACCAGATTTACCACCACGATTCTTTTCACATGGCAATTTTAGATATTCAATGAGTTCAATGCTCGGAAACCGGAGGAGATGAATGTCTTTGAGGGGGTGACCAAAAACCACTTCTTCACAGGAATTGTGGGAACTACGTTTATACTTCAGGTAAGATGTCATAACATTATAATTTCACGTCTTTGAATTTTTATTCCAATAGTTCACCATTAACAAGATCCTGGTCCGTAATAGATAATTATCATCGAGTTCCTTGGAAAGTTCGCCACAACAGTTAAGCTGAGTTGGAATCTTTGGCTAGTTTGTCTTGCTATTGGCATTTTCAGGTTTGGAGATTTTCTTTAATCATAGTAATTATAGTTTGAAAATCTTTATTCATTTAAGAATATTGGGATGATTGTGTAATGAACCAAGGTAGCATATCTAACTAGGAAGCTTTCATGGGTGTTTTTTAAAAGGTTAATGGCTATGCAATGTTTTTCAACTCTTTATGACTTCTTGTGCTGAAATCTCCTGCATGTTCTTTTACAAGATGCAGTGATTAGTTATTGAACTTCTTGAAGTTTTCCAGGTAAAACCAAATTTACTCGAGATTTTTACGAGTAGTAATACTCTAATATGTAGATTGCATTCATAGAAATTTAGGGCTCAAACGCATGAACCATGAACTCCATACATCTTGAACGGAAAAGAATCAAGAGGAAAAAAAGGAGAATTGGATTTGATGAAACTATTTGGGGGCTTTCTTGAAAATCTGATAAAATTACTAATTCATCACCAGATATATATTTAGTCGACACTTAATTTCCAGTTATTTTTGGAGGTCTTTCATTTTCTCCTGTTTTACTCCAGAATTAATCTCATGTTTTGCTCCATGTTATGACAATTATCTTTGGATAAGTGGTAATTTTCTCTTGTTTCATGCAGCTGGCCCCTTGCTGTTGTTGGAAAATTGATTCCAGTTCCAGAGACACCTCTAGCCATGGTGTTCGTTAAGCCATACCAGCGATGTGTCGCATCTCGTTGTAATTCTAATTAATACATATCATCCAATGTTTCCATCCATTAAGAAGCTTCACCAATTTCTTGAAGATCATAGTCTTCTACGGGAGAAGTAATGTCACTAGCCATCTGGCTCTTTGAATATACTAAATGCAAAGTCAAACGACTCATTTAATCGAACATATATATAATAGTCACTTAAATTGGTGCTAAATAGCATTATTCGTGAGAAATACAGGATATCTAATTCAAATATAGACCATTTCCCCCTTCCTCTAAGAGGAAAAGGGCCAAATTTTAACTACTGAAAGCAGATGCTAGAAAAAGAAGGGAGGATAATGCAGGGACCCCTATTTTATAGAGTTTCCAATGACTCATTAGATGTCCATTCAATTGTTTTTTCCTTTTTTAGTAAACATGAAAATGCAGTGATGCAATGACTTTTCTTAAAAAAAGCTACAGCTCACAAACAGCTGCTAATCAAATCTATATTACTTAGGATTAAGCCCAAGAATCCATCCCAACACTATTCATTCTGGGGCTAACCCTCCATACAATAGGCACAGCCCCATATTCAGTGATGCTCCATATCGTTCTCTCCTCTTTCTTGAATGGAACACGGGACCTCTAGCTCTACTAACTAATCCAAGAGATGCAATCACTTCTTCCAAAGCTATAATCAAGCCACATATCGTGCAGAATTAAGACCGAAAAATACACTCCAAGCACTATTCGATTGGGGGACCTTCCAATGCAACCACTCTAGCTCGACCAACTCACTCAGGATGATGTAATCACTTTTTAAACAGCTATAATCGAGCATTTTATCATCCAGAATTAAGCACTATTCTACTGGGGGCTAACTCCTTATGCCATAGGCCCACCTACATACGGTGATGCTCTGCATCAGGAAGGGTGCAGAAGAATAAGAACAAGAGAAAATAATATTCAATAAACATGGCAAGTCATCATTTATTTCCCAAAAGGTGTTTTTAACTATCAGCTTCTTTTTTCAAGAATATTATTCATAGCAGAGAAAATGACAGCTTTGGATGGCAAAACTACAAAAATTGGATGCAAAATTTGTTACAAAGGAATAGAGAGTAAAATGATTTTACAACACAATCAACAAATATTTGCTATTACATCTTCCAAAGTCTGTAATTGTAAGACAACCACATAGGCAGAATCCTCGAAGAGAGGTCTTATATTGATCTTAAATAAAAACACAATACAATTCTAAAACCAACCTGTTTCACTAATAAATTAACCCTGAACAATTTGATCCAGGAGAAATGACCCCATTTTTGAAAGTGCTGTCTGTGGGTGTATCAATTCAGTTCCAGGAGAACTAGCAGAAACACGAATAGGCAAAATGATTCTTTTTTGAGACGTAATGAGTTATGAAATCTCCAGAAGATGCGGATGAACCAGGAATGCTTGCTGGAACAAGTATCTGAGTCTTGCCTGTAGAAATTCTTTTACCAGCAACATTGGCATAAAACAGGCCAGAAATGGCTGGTACAAAAACATCGCTCTCAGAACAAATGTAGTAGTCGATAACTTTCTCATATTCAGAAGTTTCTGAGGCAAGGAATTTGTCTTTTTTATCCATGGGCATTATACTTTCCTGCAAGGGTGCAAAGGTAAACATAATACTCAACTCTTGGTGTTCGAAAAGCTAATTTAGATTTCATTGATGAAATTTGCTGGAAAGATATTTCTGTTTAGGGATGTCTCACGTTAAATAAACATGAAATAAATAACAAACTTATAAGGGTTTGACCTATTCCTCTTAACAAGTTCGAACTTTTAGTTGAACCTTACAAGTCTTGATATGATATCAGGCCATCGAGTTCAAACGAGTAATTATATCTGACTATGCCTAACGATCATAGGGCTTCCGAGATTGGTGTTCTCAAATGTGATATAAAAAAATAACATACAAGGGTTTGAACTACTCCTCTTAACAAGGTTGACATTTTCAACCCCATATTTCATCAACTTTTATCAAAATATACTAATAAATTAATTTTAATCCTCACCAAACAGAGGTTTAATAATTTGAAGGTGAGATATCGAATGACATTCACCTTTGTATAAGTTTTTGGGAAGAAGTCCTTTAGACTGTCGAGGCTGCTGTCCCATTTTGATTCAGTCACGTATACTGTTGTGTCCTTGTCATAGCCAATCTTTCTCAAAAATTGTGCGATGTCTTGAGGACCATAACAGCTTTTTGATCCACTATTTTTATGGCAGCCCTTTTTCTCCAAGATATCAAGCCTAAGGTCAACTGCCACGAACTGTCCATTTGACTTCCGACTTAATGTCCTTAGACGATTAACCAACGAGTCAACAACTTCACGAACTTCTGTCTGTGGCTCGAGGGCTCCAAACATTGCCAAACATCCAATAGAGTCAGTCTTACTTTTTTCCTTTTTCTTTTTCATGTTTACTGAAGGGAAGTAAGTTGCTAGCCTAATGTTTCCCTTGCTTCTGAAGACTGGTTCAATATTTTCTGCAATGTACTCTTCAGTAACCCGATTGGGGACCTTCACAACTGCAAGATTGCGTGCTGATAATTTAGCAGGCTGAGATTTAGCGACTTGCACTACACCGTCAAGGCTTGTTATGAACTTTTCTACATCATAAACATCTTCAAAGTTCCTGAAAGTAACAGAAAAACTACATCATTAATATGATTTCTGGCTAGTGATTATCCCCTGATATCAATAACCCCGTGCTTGTTTGGTAGTGTTTTTAAATGCTTATAAGAAGTGGGTCGTACGGAATGAGTGGATTATTAAATGGATAGTAGATGTGGAGTTTATACTTGATTCTCATTGCTGAAAAATTACCCAAAAGGGACTTTGCGAGAATGAAGGCTATGTGTCTATTTTACTATTTCCTCTCCTTTTGTCCGAAAGAAAATGCATAATACATCATCACAAAAATCCATCATATCTTCCATGCACTATAACAAGAGCAATAGCTGCATCACTTAAAAAAAAAAAAAAAAAAAAAAAAAAAAAAAAAAAAAAAAAAAAAAAGAACCCCCCAAAAAAAAAAAAAAAAAAAAAAAAAAAAAAAAATCAAAAAAATCTCCATAAACCAACAAAAAGCTTTCCTTATAACTCTGTTACCATAGATAACCAGCAAAGACAACCAAAAAATGCAAGTGAAATGAAAAATGAAACATCATGATATTCCAAGAAATATTAAAGAACTCTCTATTAAGTATGGCCTTCATCTGAATGGTTAACTCTCCTGTTCTAAGAACTTTAACTCCGAAGCATATACAGTGAAACAATTGGACGTTATTAGAGCATGCCAATCTCCATCATGCAGACTTGCACGTCCAAGTCTTGCCATAGCCAGACCTGCCCTACACTCTACTATGAGTAAGGACTAATTCGTGCCTTCACAGACGACTCTTTGGTCTTTAGAATCGCTTTGGAAGCCTTTAAGTGAAAGGGGATCAAGTTAGGGGTAGGATAAGAGTATCTTTATTCACTGGGGAAAATTAATCCAGCAAAACAAAGCACTCGCTTTCTCGAAAGGTAAGTTTTTTAAGTTGAATAAAAAAAAAAGGCAACTTTTTACTTCTTTTCGTGCTCAGTCAAGCATGCTCTTAGTGAGACATTTTATCAGACGGAGTGCATGCACAATTACATGATGGAATGCCCACCAGTTTAAATTAAATTGGCAGAGAGAGCGTCGAAAAGTCTCCAATACCATGATTACCAGCTGAAGAGAATTAATTCTTTAGAGAAATCTAAAATGGATGCATGAACTCAGATAGAATCACAAGCATATTCAGCGTGAAAGTACCCAAATTTAATGCAAATACCAGTGGAAAACCCGCCTGAAATGGCGGACAGTGATCGTCGATGGTTGAAGGCGATCCTGGAGGCACTCATTGGTGGTGACCTCTCTCTCTCTCGCTACATTGAATTGGCAGTCGCCGCCTTCTGGACGAAGAAGAAGGGCGCGGCAGGGAAGAAGGAGAAATTTTCAGTTTCGGTCCCTAAACTTTATCACTTGAGTACTTCGGTCAAGAATCATTTTTTTCTTTTTAAACCTTGAAACATTTTAATTTCAATGCGAGTCGGTCCTTACTGGTCTGGATGGAAATAAGTGTGCACAATATTTTTGTACATCGGTCATCACTTTTAAGATTAGGCCGATGAAAGTTGCAGGTCAAAGCAGATTGGGATTTTTTTAAGTTAATTGTTCCAATGGTCACTAAATTTGGATCCATATCTTTAATTGATCACTGAAATTTAAAATATCCAATTTTGATCACTGAATTTAAATCGATGTCTTCGATTGCTTATTGAACTTAGGTCCATATCTTTGATTGCTCACTGAAATTTTAAATATCAAATTTTGATTTCTTCAGATTCAGTTCTCACTCCAATTTGGGTCTGTATGTATGTAATTCTAGCAGTGAAATCACTTCTCCAATACTCACACTCTCTCTCTCTCACTGTAACAATAATAATAATGGTAAGAAACAAATGGAAAATCAAATCATACCCACAGATTGACACTATACACACAGAAAGAGAGGGAGTGAAGAACAGTTTTTTAGTGAGAGAAAGTAGAGATCCCAATCCCCAGCTACAAGGATTGGCGCTTATTGTTCAAGCATCTTTTTCTTCCTTGTTAGTTTTATCAACCAATTATAATATGCAGATTAATCATATAATTATTTTATTTTATATGCACACACACAGAGATACATAACAAATACGTATATATCGTATAGCTAATAGCTTCTCTCATGTGCAAATAGTAGACAGAACCGGTGGTTACACTGTCAATGTAGAGCGAGAAATGGTTGTCTATACGTACATGTATATGTATGTATAGGTAAATACGTACATATATAACGCTGACTAGCACCGACAATTTCCCGAAAATGACGGCGACCCTAAATTTCAGCACGTCTTTCAATTTTTTTTTTAATAGGATATTTTTAAGGATATAAAATGTTCAAATTTAGCCCCTAATTGATTATTTGGTTCCCACTGTTTAAGTTCTTTCTATTTGGGCCTGATTTTTTCACCCAAAAAATTGATTTTTTGACCGTTATTTTACTATTCCAGTCGTCATATATGACTTATTTTTCACAAGTGGACCCCACTTTTCTCCTAACGGTAAAAAAATCAATTCTCAAAATCACTCCAAAACAGGTGGACCCCACTTTGTTTTTTGTTTTTAAATTTTTGGCTACATCATCATTTTAAATCATATATTTAAACAATAGTATATTCTATACATAAATTCAATGTTTTTCTACTTTTTAACCGCATATTCTCTTAAAAATACTATTCAAACCCTTTTTTTTCTTTTTTTGAAATAATGGGAATCAAACATGGGCTTAATTTGTTATTTTCAATGCTAATTTGGGACAATTCATCACTCTAGTGTTAAACATTGTCTAGGTAGCAATTATATGCTATTAAATAATGAATAATGCTACCTAGTACCAGTGGAATTAGAGTACCATACCATATAATTGCCACTTAAACTATTGTTAAATATCGATAGGATTGAATAATATTACTCATGAATTATTCATTTAAGAATAATACTATTTAGGATCAGTAGTGCTTAAACCATCGGTCTAACTTGTCACACTTGATAGGATTCATTGAATGAATCGTGTGTCATTGTATTTGAGTGAATTATTATTTAGTGCCAAGCAATTACAATCTAAACTAGTTCAATGGTGTTGAATATCATTACTTTTCATTTAAAGTGAAAATGTAAAGTCATATGACTAATTTAATTGAACATATAAAGTGTAGCCATCCAAATTGATGCTGTAATACTATTGGTGTTTGATAGAATTAATTTAAGATTGGAATAAAGATGAGTAAAGAGTCCAACAAAGTATGTGAATAATTATTCCTATACATATATTTCATAACATTAATTTCAACTACACTATTCATTGTTATATATACATTTCGCCAGATCTACTATTTTCCTCTCTTTTATATACTAAGTTATGAATTTGTCAAAAAATGGCTTATGCTTTGAGAGGTGTATGAGTTTTGTTACGTAAAATTTCTCAATCAAATATATATGGGTGTGTTTGAGCCATATTATTTTTAAGAGAATGCATTTTGAAATAGTATATTGATAGAGAATATATGGTTAAAAAAAGATTTTTTTTTATTTACGTGTAATATTATTTTAATGAAAGATATGTGATTGAAAAGAATAGATAAAAAATGTATTTTAGAGAAAATGAGAATCAAATATTCCCATGTAATTTAAGTCTCAGCTTCTCAATCTTTTATTTGATGTAGTTATGGATCTTTAATTTCAAAAGTTAGGATTTCGGATCTTCAATATATTTAAATGGGTGAATCTGATCCTCAAATGATCGACATTCATATGACTTACAATTAAAGGGCATAACAATCAAACTGCTTAATATTCATCACCAATTTAATAAAAAATAATGTGAATTTTTAACATTTAAATTGACTATCTTACGTCAAAATTTTCAAAGTTTATGTAAAAAAGGGCTCCAATTCCCATTCTAATGCATAGTACGAACGTACGTACGAATCAGATAGTCGGGACATTGGACAATATCATCACGAACTATTCTTTCAAAGAGAATCGATCGAGGGAAGAAGCTCTTTGTAAATGAGGGAAATGCCTCTTTCAAGAGAAATATATAAATATGTTATATGTGTGATGTAAAGTTGGTGTGGAGCCCATTAAGGGTAAGAGTCATACAAGTGGATGAATGGGACTTGTGGCTTGTGACTCGGATTATCTAATTTAGAGGTGTGTAAATCTAGCACGTGAAACTCACGTGTTGCGTTGAATAATTATAAAAATCAAAATACCTTTAATGACGGACTTATTATTTATTTGCATATCTGATAGGGAAATTGCATATTTAGTCCTCTCAATATTTTACAAAGCTGAGATCTTATCTCCAATTATTTTTTATTATTGCATTCTTGTCAAATTTTCATAAATGAGAAAAGTACATCGCCATGCTGCACAGATAAAAGATCTTTCTAGTAATTTAACCATACATTTAATTTAAGTTAACTGCATATTTCATGGGATCCATAACTTTTCAACTATATATTTTATTAATTTTGTCAAAATTTATTCAAAATCTAATTCTAATTCCCATTAAATTGGGGGCAAAACAACTATTTAGAAAAGAAGAAATAAATGGAGAAAAAATGAAAACGAGAAAAAAAATTATCTTACTCACCACCCACTGCCACCTTGTAATAATTTCTCTTTCTTCAATTGCGACGAAGAAGCTCATTGAGATACAACACTTTTGTGCACGAATATGGATGATGGGCTGGAAACTCTCCAGCTTTCTCGGCCCGACATGAACAAGACTCGAGAACCAAAAGAGAAACGAGGGGTGCGAGGTAGGTGGGGTGGGGGTTGATGGGGGTAGAGTTGTAAGTTGGTGGTTGATGAGGAAGCAAGTTTTTTCTTTTTTCTTTTTTATTTTCTTCTTTTATTTAATAGTAGTTTAATAAAGTATAATCAGTTTCATTATTAAATTGTTGTCTTTAAAAAATATATATTTTTAAATTTATTCTTTTTAATAGCGGTTTGATGTTATCTCCTTTTAACTAAAAGTCACGTGTATGTGAATTAATGGAAAATTTGGACCGAAACTTGCTAATATA